GGGGTGCTAGAGGAAACCTAAGCTCCCAGTGAGGGGGTAACCTCCCACAGGGGCTGGAACGTCACTGTCCAGATCTTGGATAGGCTGAGGGCTGGCTGTAGGGCAGTGAATTATTCAATGTGGATCTTCTAGCCACAGTCCTAGTTGTTGTTGTTGGTTATGTGCCATGGAGTCGGTTCTGACTCACAGCAACCCTGTACAGTGTTTCCAAGGCTGTAAATCTTTACAGGAGCAGAAAGCCTCATCTTTCTCCTGCGGAACAGCTGGTAGTTTCAAACTGCTGACCTCGAGTTTAGCAGCCCGGATTCGTAACCACTACGCTACCAGAACTTATATAGTTGTTGTTGTTAGGTGTGGTTAAGACCGACTCATACCAACCCCATACTGGGTTTCTGAGGGGTGGCTTGTGGGTTTGAACTGCCAACCTTGTGGTTAGCAGTCCTGAGCAGTCCAGCGCTTATCCTACAGCACCACACGAGGACACCAAAACCTGGGTCCAACTACGCAAAAGTTGAAGGGCTTGTGGCCCATCAAGACGATGAGACAGCTTGCAAACAATGTAAATAGGAGCAAGGTACCCTTGTGGGGGTGGAATCATGCAAATAAGGTAAACGGAACTCTAACATTGTGAATAACCAGTTTTGCCATCAGAGAGGCAGAAACCGCAATGTTGCTACCATAGGGGGCGCACGACACTGAAATTCTTACAATGAACCTCCTAGATCCTGGGGATACCAGAGGTAGCAGCATCAGCGGAAGCAGTAGAACCATGAGACCAACAAGATCGTGTGGTGGGCTTCCTGGCCCACGGAGCGAAGAAGCTGAGCACTTTGGGGAAGAAAGCTTGCTGGCAGAGTGGGATGTCTCCTGGGCACTTCATCTGTGGAGCTAGGTTTGCAGACCAGAGGAGCTAGATAGAGCTGAGCACCTTTGGATCGAGGTTTACCGACAGAGCTGACGTTTATTGTTGTTGTTAAGTACTGTTGAGTCGATTCCGACCCATAGTGACCCTGTATAGGGTTTCCAAGGAGCAGCTGGTGAGCTTGAACCACTGACCTTACAGTTCAAACCAACTTTGCAGTCTGATGCATTAGCCCACAGCGCCACGCCAGGACTCCGGACATCTATCAGTAGAGCTTAAAGAACTTTGTAATACTTGTCCAAGCAGGGCCGAAGACAAGGGGCCATGTGACTGAGAGGCCGTGTGCCTGAAAACATGGCTGAGAGGAGGCTGTCCTAATCAAAGAAGCATTTCAGATCTGGACTTGTAAACCATGTGATGCTACTGGATAAGCATTGGATTGCTAAACACAAGGTCTGTGGTTCAAACCCACAAACCCAGCAGAACGTGCCACAGGATGGACAGTTGGTGTCAGGTGGAGGTATATCTGAAACCTCTGCCTCATAGGAACTGACCTTGTGTTACTGATTATCTTAAGTATCCTCCCCACCTTGCGAAATTAGAGGTCTGACGCCACCTCCACACACTACTGGTTGCACTAGGCCCAGGCAGTAAATAGCCAAGCAGGCACCAAGAATAATAACCCCAAACAAATCAGATGCTCAGAACTAGTCAAACAATGACAGCTGGAATGTGGAGGGAAGGAAAGGGCCCAAAGGCCCCAGGGCTGAGAGGGGAATGCTATCACAGAGAGATACTACTCCATAGACTTGCTCCTAGAGTTACAGGCAGAAGCACTATGTCTTCTAAAGTTACAGGCAGAAGCCAGGGTCTTGGGCAGAAGGATGAGAGCTCGAAGGGCCACTTCTCAGTGTTGTCTCTGAGGAAGAGGCAACTACAGGTCTGGATTCTTCCTGTCTGATCCTTTCTAATCCTGCTATCTATCATCACGTGGTAGCTCTTCCTCTGCTCCTCTAGGAGAGGACAAAGTTACTGAATGTCAGCCTAATCCTGGCAATTATAAACTAGGGGAAGAACCCAGCAAAGCACAAATGCTCAACACTGACAATATCATAATAACAAGCGCCCCGCTGCTACCCTCCCGAGGGCCACACTAACCATCAGCCAGAAAGTTACACCATCAAGATCTTGAGGACGACCTTCTACAGATACTAATGTAGTGCTTCCAGTCAGTAGTCAGACAATCAAACTCAGAGAGCCCAACATGTAAGATGGGGACCCAAGTCTTCGTCTACCCAACTGCACAGTCCCAATGGATTTCCTGCAGTAGGCGCTATGTCAGAACACCTACTCCCGTTCCAGCCTGCACCTGGCCCTCCAAGGCCCACAAGCTCTGTCTCCTAGATCTCACTAAAAGCTATCCACCCTGTTTCCAGCAGAGAGCTTTCCGTCACCTTTCTGCACAGTATCTTTCATGGTTTTCCCTCCCACTCCCTGCTAGTTGAACTCTCAACCCTCTGCTGACGTCCAGGGCCTCTCTCTTGAGGCCTGTCCATGTTGACAGTCTGCTCTACTGTCCCCAACGCTCCTAAATGAGATGGGTTTCTGTCCTTCCTTCCTCCCCTCACTATGGCTAGAAAACAACTCCCTTCAAAGTCTCAGGGCAGTGGGCTCCAGACAGAATGGCCCCCCAAACCCACCAGTTAGTGGATAGACCCCCAAGTGAGAGTGAACCCAGAGGTCTAGCATTATAGGCTATCTCAACACTACACCCCAAGTGGTGGATCTCCAAACCTTAACCCAAAAACTCAAAACCACTGCTGTCAAATGGATCCAACTCATAGGGACCCTATAGGACACACAACTGCGCCCGCTGTACTTTCTTTCTCTCGTGGTGTAATCACAGACCTTTTGCTAAACCACTGCAGTGAAGCTCCTTCAAAACCTTAAAAATCCACTTTTTCTCCAGAGACAGCGGAGTGACAGTACTTAATCAAACTGGGAACTCCTCTCAACAAACCCCATAAACTTAGAAAATCCCAGCTCACGTGCAACCTAATGCTCCCTCCTATCTCACCCGTCCCTTGTTCCACGAAAGTCCCAAATTCGTCCCAGTGAAACACTACCTCTTGCTCCCACTGCCCAGCATGAGCCGTGAGCGCCCCCGCACCTCATCCGCGAAGTCCGAGGATGTCAGCAGGGCTCGTGCGACTCTGGGTCGTCCATTTTCGACGAAAAGAACTGAAAAGACCCGAACACCCCGAGTTTTCCAGGACGAGTAATCTTTACCCAGAAGTTGGGTTCCAACCCGCACACAAACCACTTAAAGCGAGATGCAGGGAGCTGCTTCCTCCACCCCTGCTGCGCCTTGGTCACCCTGGGAGCCACACCAACCTGGTTTGAGGCTCTGGCCCTTACCATAGCCTCTCCCCAAACTGACTGGGCCACCCGCAAACTGAGGAAGCAACCACACCCACTGCCCCCAGTCCTAGCTCTCCAGACCCCGGGGCTGGCCACGATCTCTAGGGTCAGGGGACCGCTCCCCGTGTCCCCCCGGGCACAAGGAGCAGAGTCAGCAGAGAGAGAGTCAGGCCACCCCAACAGCACCAGAAGGCAGGGCAGCCCAATGGAAAGGGCCCAAGGCCTTTGGAGCCAGCCAGCCAGCCCTCCAGCCCAGCATCTGGGCGGCCTGGACGCCGCGGGGCGCTGGCTGCAGTGCAGAGAGCCCCTCCCCCCTCCCCGCTTTGGGTCTCGGCCGGCCTCCCGGTTGAGGAGGGGAGGCGCGGGCGCAGACACGCGGGAGGACACTTACTTAGAAAGATTACATAGTTTCACCCTCTGTTCGAGCCGGAGTGGTGGTAGCACCTCACGGCCCTCAGCTCAGACCTCAGTGTCCACCACCCCTGCAAGACTGCTCCACTCTACCGCCCACCCCAACTCATTCCATGGTTGGGTGGACCCCCGCTCAGGAGCCCCCAGGGTGGCCCAATGAGCGGCGATCGCAACGCAGAGTGACATTTGCGCAGAGCAATCACTGAGTCCAATCCAGGCAGAGGTGGGGCTCAGTCGCTTCCTATTCAAGGCTTGACCCAGCCCAGAGCCTTCGACTGCGCGTGCTCAGAACGGGAGGGGTAGTGGTCTAGAGCAGATCTGATACTAGGGGTGGGGTTATTGCTCGGTTGCTAAAGAGGGTCTGGACCAGGAGAGAAAAAAGAACTCCCGGTTCTGGGAGCAGCCCGGCCCAGCGGCTCACCCTTCATTGCCCGCTTTGGAGGGCAGAGGTGCACAATTCTACGATGCACACACCACTCCCTGTCCCCGACAGGTCCTGGGAGCCAGAGTCCCTGGTTTTAGTCCCCTCACGTGCATGGGCACCACGTGACGCAGGCTCCTTTTCTGGGCCTCAGCTTGTTGTTGTAAAGTACCGTGGAGTCGGTTCAGACTCATAATGATCCTGCCTTGGGTTTCCGAGGCTGTAAATCTTTACGGTAGCAGAAAGCCTCATCTTTCTCCCGCGGAACAGCTGGTAGTTTTGAACTGGCGATCTTGAGGTTAGCAGCCCGACTCGTAACCACTACGCTAGTAGAGCTCCTCAGCTTACCTAGTTTGGATCATCTGCGCTCTAGCATTCAAGAACTGTAATGGGGTAAAGAGGAAGGGAAGATGGGGAACCTACACGTGACTTCCCCGCGCGGGATCCCGCCTACTCCTGGTCCAGCGCGCCAACTAGGATGAGCATAAGTGGGCGGATCCTAGGAAACCCGACCTGACGGCCCTTGGTAGCAGCTAACTGCCAGGCTCCACAAGGGGTTGATTCTGGCATCAACACCAGGGGAGGATGGAGACAGCTCCCCAGACTTCGCAGGGGACCACCATGGAGGCCAGGGCCATGTAGAGACATGGTGTGAAACACCGAGCACGTCTGGGGAGGATAGACGAGCAAATCGGAGGCAATTAACAAGGCTCCCTCTCCACACCCAATTTGCCGAGGTGCACTGCGCGGATGCGAGCGAGCACAGCTTTGGTCATGAACAGCGCACTTGCAGCCCAGCCCAGCGTGAAGGGTCGCATCCTGCCAATCTGAAGGCAGGAAGCCTAGAGGGGTGCCAGAGAATCAGGCGTTCGGGAGCGCACTGCCATGGCGAGAGAGGAGTGCAAGGCACTTCTGAATGCTCTCAACAAAGTGATCGCGTACTACCACCACCAAGTGCTGACCGTTGGTGGCTCTGGGGATTCGCGGAACCTGCGTGAGGATCTGCAAAATACTCGACAGAAAGCTCAGGAGCTGGCTGTGGCCACTCGCATCAGGCTGACGATGGCGCTGCGTGACCAGGACCTGGGCACGGAGGAACGCGCCGAATTTGAGTGCTTGTGGGTGGCTTTCTCCGGCTGTCTGGACTTACTGGAGGTGGACATGCAGCGCGCGCTGGCATTGGGTGCTATGTTCCCGCTGCACTCGCCAGGGAGGCCATTAGTATGCACAGGCTTGAAGGCTAACTGCTTGAGCACTCACAGCCTGCGGCACGAGGCCCACAGTGACTTAGACGTGGCCAATTTACGTGATCTGGAGCGCGAGATCCTCCATGTGCGTGAGATGATCCATGACATGGAGCTGAAGGTCAACGTTCCACTCTGGACCGTGCAGACTCGGCAGGCGTCGAGTGCGGAGGTCTTGGCCAGCACGGGTGCCTCCTCAGCCGGCAGTGTATCCGTGGAGGACCACACAGAGCCTTGTGATCTGAGCAAGGCCCTAGCCGCCACCCTTTTCGGTGCAGTGCTGCTGGCGACCGTAGTCTTGGCTGTGTGTGTGGCAAAGCTGAGCTGACCAACACTGGACAGTCATCGGCTGTGCTCCCTACCCCGGGGCACGCTACCCCCTGGGTACCACTCTAGGAATGAGCCTCAGGATGGGTCTGGGATCTAACATGTTTAGGGGAGCTGTTGTAAGTTGGTGCGCTTGTTCATGTGTGTGAGCATGCGCTTCCAGCACACGTCAACCTGTGCAGGACCTGGTGTTCTGTTGCTGGCCCATGAGGAGTTAACTTTGTACGAGAGCAGTTAGGGCATTTCAGCTAATGTCTGCAGGAGCTTTAGCTCCTATTAATAGAAAACTGTGCACAGATCCCTCAGAGTTAATGGAAGTTAATCCTGCTGGGGTGTGTTTACATGGAGTCTGAGCTTTGATGCCTCCACCCCTGTTGACGTTTCCCACTCTCCCCATGGGGCAGTGGATTGGCCTGTTTTGTTTGCTGGTCAAGCAAATTGTGGTAAAATGTAAGCAGTTTTATTACTTTAATCCTCTGGGGCGTATGTTTAGGAAAGTGTGCAAATAGAACTTCGTGCAAAGTGCTTTCCCTACAGTGCACGATTGCACTTGTTGGCCGAGTTTAATGCTAAGCCACCAAAAGCTTCTAGAAGAGGCTGTGGTTCGTGACCTCCCTGGACTTCACAGGACTTGACTCTACTTAGTAAACCAGAGGCCAGTTGAATCTGCTGGTGGGCTTAGATCTGCTGTGCACTCTGCCCTACAGAATAGGTCTCACTACAGCTAGACCAGGTGGCATGGAGGCTTGAGAAAGGCCACATGTCATTTAAATGGGCACTTTCTCCTTGCAGTGACTTATTTTTGTTCCTGAACTAGAGTGTATGATCCGCCTTTGGGCTTGCTGGGAAATCCTCTTTGGAGCCCTTAATCCTATCTATCTACTTATTTGTTTCTGTACCAGTAGGAGAACAAGCTTTGGAGGGAGCTGCAAGGCTCAGTGACCCCGACATTGCCCTGTTGAGAGCGAGACAATGACATCACCAGCCCATCAGTTCTGAGACTGTATTCAAATGTTACAGCTTTTATATTGGAGCATAAGAAGCTTTTAAAAAATAATAATCAATTGAAATAAAAATCATATATATAATCACATCATGTACCCCTCAAAACTGGTATATATATATGGTGGTAGTGGTTATGTGCTGTGGAGTAGGTTCTGACTCAAGACAAGCCTGTATAGGGTTTCCAAGGCTGTAAATCTTTACAGGAACAGAAAGCCTCATCTTCCTCAAGAGTGGCTGATAGATTCGAACTGCTGACCTTGAGGTTAGCAGCCCAATTCGTAACCTACTATGCCATGAGAGTTACACATGTATATTGTAACTGTTGTTAAGTGCCGTTGAGTCGATTCCAACCCATGGCAACCCTGCATAGGGTTTCCAAGGAGCAGCTGGTGAGTTTCAACTGCTGATCTTGCAGTTCAAACTGATTTTGCAGTCCAGCGCATTAACCTACAGTGCCACACACCTACAGCGCCCAAAGTTGGTGGTTCAAGCTCACCAGTCACTTCTCATAAACCCTGTGTAGGGTCGCTGTGGGTCAGAACTGACTTGAAAGCACTTAACAACAAATATATGTATATATACATATATATGGGTGTATGTATATGTGTATGTCCTGGTGTGGCACTGTAGGATAAACACTCAAGCATTCAGCACTCAACCATAAAGTCAGTTTGAATCACAAGGTCAGTGGTTCAAACTCACCAGCCACTCCTCAGAATTCACAGGGTCGCTATGAATGGGAGATTCATACGGCTCCATGGCACTTAACAACCACATCATCCTGGTCAGGTTGTAGATATCAACAGCTGGTGGTTGTTACGTGCCTTCAACTGAGTCCAACTAGGTCTAACTCATAGCAATCCTATATAGGGTTTCCCAGGAGTGGCTGTTTAAGTTTGACCTGTGGTTCAAACTGACCTTACAGTCCAGTACTTATCCTATAGAGCCACAGGTGTGACACTGTAGGATAAGCACTGGACTACTAACCATAAGATTGGTAACTCAAACCTTCCAGCCACTCATTGGAAACCCTATAGGAGACCCTATGCATGGTCGCTATGAGTCAGAAATGACTCAACAACACTTAACAACATATATGGACGCAATGGCTATGTAGGATAAACACTGGACTGTGAACCACAATGCTGGTGACTCTAGCTCACCAATCACTCCTTGGGCACTGGACTGTGAACCGCAATGCTGGTGACTCTAGCTCACCAATCACTCCTTGGGCACTGGACTGTGAACCACAATGTTGGTGACTCTAGCTCACCAATCACTCCTTGGGAGAAAGATGAAGCTTTCTACTCCCACAAAGAATCAAAACCTCAGAAACCCTACACAGGGTCAATGTGACTCAGAACTGACTTGATAGTACTTACCAACTATATGTGTATGGCTGGTGGCTATGTGCCTGCATGTGTTTTCAAATGCAAATACACCACCTCTGAAGGTTCTGGGTGGGGCTCAAAGGCCCATATTCTTTGTTGTTGTTGTTAAATGCCTTTGAATAGTTCTGACCCATGGTGGTGGTGGTGTGCTGTGAAATATATATATAGAGAGAGAGAACGCCCTGGTATGACGTTGCAGGTTAGTGCACTGGATAGCAAGGTTGGTTTGGCTCTGGCAACATGATAATGTAGAGGATTATGAGGTGGGCTACGATCTGTAAGGTCAGTAGTTCGAATCTGTCAGTTGCTTCACTGGACAAAAATAAGGTTTTCTGCTCCCATAAAGATTTACAACTTCAGAAACCCTATATAGGGTTGCTATTAAGTTGGAACCAACTCTCCGCACTTAATAATATGTGACAATATGACATTTGGCCATGAATTCATAGTTATTATGTGTCTTAGGCTGGTTTTTCTAGAGAAGCATATGTGTGTGTGTATGTATGTACGTATACACACACACACACACACACACACACATTTATATGTAAAGAGAAGTTTATACCAAGAGATGGCTTACAAGTGTAGAGCCCCAGGTCCCCCATGGAAAAGACAGCAAGTCTTTCCTACATGTCCATTATATTGGGAGCAGACCACACCCCATGGAAACATCCTTTCAATTGAGTGACTGCTCGTAGCCAATCATCATAGAGTTCACTATGCCTGTATTAGCTTTCATCACCATGGGGATAACCACATCTCAACTTCCAAACCAACCCAGTCAACTTGACACAAAACCCTAACCATCACAGACTACCCTTTGTCAACTTGACACCTATAAATTATATGCATAATCTGTAAATAATAAAGAAAATTATAAAATCATTACTTGCACCTTACATGATATAACTAAAGCATGTACAACCGAAAATGCACTGTCCCAGTTTTATCTTATATTTCAGAAATGAACAAAGCAACAATATTTGATGCACACATACAAAACAAAAAATATACATTTATTTAAATGTCCAAAGGGCACCTTCTGCAAGCCAGCCTCCTGCCCACAGTAACACAGCCTTACTCAGTTCCTGAGGCTAGAGCCCTCAGCTGCTCTGTCTCTCCATGCCACCACCTCTACTGTCTCTGCTATCTCTGCTGTCACCGCTTCTCTAGGTAGGGATCTCACGCTCCCCTCATGCTCTTCCTTTTGAATGGTCCTGGGATTATCTGTTCCTGAAATGACAGGCTAACTGCTCCCCAATGCCCCCACCTTTTAATTATACATCTTCTACAGTTACTTTTGACAATTACTCACAACTGAATCACAAAATCCGATCAGCATCATCCCCCACCCCCTTACAACAGACCCATCTGGAAAAGAGGAAAACTATTCACTGGGGACTCTATCTTACCACCCTCATTGTAAAACTAACCACATCCATGGAAGCTTGTGAGCCAGCTACTTCATGCCTTTATAGCTCCCCATTTTTGTTAGCCAATATTTAAATGGCCCATCCCTATCAACCCAGTGGGTTAATGCACTGGATTGCAAGGTCAGTTTGAACCACAAGATCCGCAGTTCAACCTGACCAGCCTCTCCTCAGAAACCCTGTACAGAGTGGTTATGGGTCAGAACCAACTCAACAGCACTTAACAACAACCACCACCTGTTGCCGACCGTGTAAGACTGGTCAGAGGTTCGAGGCCCTCTAGGGCCGAGTGTAACAAGTGAGGCCACTGGCAGTTAATGGCAAATTGCTTTCATATTAATATTCAGTTATATATATTAAATTAATACACGGAACCTTTGACAATCTACAGATAAATGTGATATTTTCCTAAAGCCTGAGACTAAAGGTTGCAAGGTTAAGCCTTTCTCCAAAGGATTAACTAAAAATTTCTTAGCTACTTCACAGCTCTTTGTTCTATAGACAAAGAACCCATCCTCCCTAATCCTTTTCCAGGTGCAGCCCATTCACCTGGGCGTCTGGAGTCCTCCTGCAGACCTGGCTCAGGAAGCCGAAGCAGCAGGACTCCGCCCAAGCTTTTGTCATTACTCTCACCTTCCGCCACCTAAACTCAGGGGCTATAGATATGTTAATTGGGCCTGAGAAAACAAGTTGCTGGCCTGGGATTCAAACCAGCTAAGTACGATGTAAAGTTACCTGAATGTCTGGAAAAGTACTGTGTTAGCTGTACCTTGCCTAAGTCCCTCCCAGCTTGGTGTGAAGCTCCTCCCCTAAATAAAACAGAGGCCCGGGCCTCCCCAGGTGTGCATTACTGGTTGGAAGGCATGGAGTAAAGATGGCAGGGCATTACTGGTTGGGAAGGCAGGCAGTAAAGATTGCAGGGCAGTGAGTTGCTGCCTGCAGAGGCCACGATGCCTGTACTCCCAAGCATGCCCACCAGTGATGTTGTTATGCCCAGAATTCAGGGTCCCCAAAGACCACCCAGGAGCCGTGTACCGATGCAAATACATAAGGGTTGTTTAATCAAGCTCGAGCCAGGTCTCTAACCTTATCCGACATTTCGGAATAGGGAAAGAGCCCGAATTCATTGTCTGCAGGGTTTTTATAGAATTTTCAAACAGCTCAGGTTTCTCAGC